TGCACGGATTGCGGCAACCGTGCAGGTGTTTGGCATCACACCTGCAATGAGGTGACCCTGCAGCAAGCAGAAGGTGCGGTTGCTGCCATTCTTTGCTGCCATTCTTTGCTGTCCTTTTAGTGTACTTGGGTTCTCTTTCTCAGGACAGTTGACCTTGTGCAGGGATTTCGACAGCTGTGCAGGTACTCGTGCAGGTGAAGTGGTGGCACTTGCCAATGAGGCGACGGCATTGTTTTCTGCACGGTTACATCCTTCCATAAGTCTATTTATATTCATGCCTAGAGGCTAGAGCTCAATGTGCACTTCGGTTTGTCTTCTCTTGGTCGAACTGGGTGCTATTTTTTGACAATGAATTTGGGAAAAGAGAGAGGAATCAGTATTGTGGGAAGGATCTTTTGGCTTCCGTGCTCAAAACCCGGGTGTACGCCTACCATCAACATAATTTGAATATGGCTGGTCCACATCCACACTTTGGGACCCCGCAGCCCTTAGAGCAGTCGGTCAGTCGGTGGGGCCGAATGTTGAAATTGGGTCCGCACTGTGTTGGGTGAACATGCCAATTCCAGCTGTCGAACTATACAACAATTTCCCAAGGAAGCGGTAGCTTACCATGGACATTTTAAACCCAGGTTTTTGTTCAAGCTTGTGTTGGGAATAGGACTGAAGCTTGATCCTCTTGATCTTATCTTGCTGCTTTGTTGACATTTTGGGGATGTCACTGTTGAGCATGGAATTATCATATTATCTTACAAAAAAAACAGCAGAGACAGACAGATCAGCTTCTTTGTGTGATTTGATAGCATTTGATAGCATTTGTACTGTTAGATCACATCCAGGTGAACCGGAAACAAGGACATTCTATGGGATTCCTCCACTGGTAAGGGGGATGTTGGAAATCACACTGCCTTGTTTCGTTCGGAATATACCTGGAATTGCCGTGGAACTCTCAGGGCGTTCCTCGGCACTTAAGAGCCATGATGTTTTGTATTGTTTTGTTTGTTTACCAAGTCTGCATCATACATGCCATGATACAACACAATCTTCTTGCTTGTACTGAAAGGTGTTAAGTAGAGGCTTTGGTGGGTTCCACTCTTTTTCGATCAACAGCAGACCATTTAGGTTGCACATGAGAACCGCTAGTTAGTGAAAGAGGGCTCATTTTTTGCAATCTCTGGTCGAGGTGCAGAATGCGTATATAGTGCTTTTGCCTTGTTCCAGGTCCTTTGTTTTTTCAGTCCACGACCATCATAATTTGGCTCGACGTGCAGCTCACCTTTCATGATTTTGCAGTTACTTGTGATAATATGGCACATTTACACATGAATCGCGCGAACAAAATGATACAACATGGCACATTGTAGTATCTAGTGTAGTAAGGAATCCATCTTTTGGAGCTCAATCAATTTGAGCAGGTCAAGCTTTGATTTCAGATGCAGTTTGCCTGGAGTTGCAAGGGCTTCAATACATTTTGGTTTACTTGGCATGACCATGGCCATGTCTGTCTCAGGGTAATGGTGATGATTGATTTACAAGAGACTGGCTGGTTTTTGATTACCTACATACTCCATCTTGCAGGTAACCTGAAAACTGGTTCTGTTTTCCGTGCGCAAGCGCCCGCAAGCGCCCGCAAGCACTGCCATTTTGTGGGGCTCATGACATCCCTCACAGCATTGTGTCCAGGTGTGGCATGGGGAAGCTGCGTGGAACCTGCTTTGGCTTCAAAAGGTGTATTGCTGATTGCTATAATTGGTGCTCCCGCATTGATAGGTACTATTGATTGCAACTCTTGGTCATTCTGTGCCATGTCTTTTTCAACTCAGCTCACCAACGACAGAGCGCAGAGCTTGCCTGTAGCCTTTTCACGCGCGCAGTTGATGCCATTTGGCTCAACTGAGAAGGCCAGCAAAATGGGATGAGATGAGAGGTGTACGGATCTCTGGCATTGCTTGCTACGTCGGCGCAAAACATGGCAGATCGCGAGCCCTTTTCTTGTTTGTATTACTAAAGGCTCCCATTCGTCCTGTAGGCAGAGAAGAGAATTGAGCACTGAGACCTCATTTTGTGTGATTGACCTCAAGATGCATGGTAGGAACCTGCACATGACACGGGCCAAAGACTGACCAAAGACTCACTGACTTCTTGTTTCACTGGCCGAGGTCTCGAACCCGCACCAAGCGGGGCCGAGGGCCTAGACGCAACCGGAGCGGAGGGCGTAGGACGAGTCCTGGAGCACATGGAGCAGGGATTCTGGCGGACGGATGGTCTTCGTTCTTCTGTTTTTAAGAGGTCGCCCTTTTTGGACCTCTTTCCATTTCTCCGTGGTGTGAGATCGGTTCTGGTGGTTGACCAAGGTTCTTGCCTGGGGAGTTGGGATCCTTAACTCCGCGCTTGGTGCCTCGTGCTCCCACTTCGCCAAAGGCTGCCTTTGGAGTCTGGGCCGTGGGTGGGCATGGGCCGTGTGGCCATGCCAGTTCCCTGCACAGCTCAAAAATAGAGGATTGATCTAAGGGATCTGTTTTTTTTTAATGTTTATGCTTTAAGAATCAATTAAGGGATCATGAAAAGGATAATGAAAAGCGCTCATGTTGTTCAATTATGCACACACACACATAAATACAGCACTGGTTGAGGGCTCGGTTGGAAGATCCCTTTGGCTATATTAATGCGTTTCCCTATGTTATCCGTTTCTCACCTAGGTATACATGATTCCGCCGCACAGAAGTTCGCACAAATCAGATTTGTGGGGTGATAACGATTTGTTTCTTGCGAAGACGCTTTTTCCGAAAAGAATTCAGATCAACTCCCAGAGCTAAATTCCCTCGAGGCGGTGCGGAAGTTGCGGCATCACTCTGAAGTGCCGAGCAAAGAGGTTGCTTTGCTGCACATTGTGAGATTCGGCAGTCACAGAGAGGAGCACAAATCGTGATCAAGCGCAAGGGCCGAGAGAGGATCAACTCAGTATTCTGTGACCAGTTCTAGCTGCTGCTGACTTGGCCCCCAGGTTCTTCCTTTGGCTGCGTTGCCACTCTGGGTTGGTGTCGGGCCTATGTAAGAGAACCGTCATTTGTGTAAGCAAGCCATAATCACCAGAGCACCGCAGCAGCATGAAAACACCGAGGCACAGCGACTTGTGAGGAAGTGCCAGTGAAGAGCATCAAAGCAGTAGCACCTTGGTGAAGTTTGATGTGAATCAGATGGATCCTGGATGGTATAATTTTATGAAGACGGATCAGATGAATGCTTAAAGCTTGTTGCATGAAGTACAACAGTCTCCATGTGATTTCGGCGTCCTGGTCCTCCCAGTCGGTTTGCCTGTCAGGTGCCGGAAGACCTGCATCAACATGCTGCAGTCTCAGCAGCTAAACCTTTGAGTGGCGACCTAGTGTTGTGTAGATGTATACTTCCCAACAAAGTCAAGCTCGCTAATGAGAGAACTCTCCCTGAAAAGATCTTGAAATGTTGTTTTATGCAGACTACCATGGATGACAACGCATGGAAGCACAGTGATAGCTGTGCGACAGAAGATCGAAAGGAATAAAGTATCCTATGCAAAGATGGAATACTTTGCAGACAATTTGGAAGATGTGTCCACATTTAAAAACATCGAGGAAGACGTGTCCTTGATTGACGAAGCAGAGGCAGATGCTTCGCAAGGTACTCGGAGTTTTTCTTTTCTCAAAGGAGCTCCTTTCTTCTACTTTCTTCATGACAAGCAAGCCAAGCCAAGGTTCTGTTCCGCACACGAGCGCTTCGTAGAAGCAGCTGAAAATCTGGAGCAGGAGGGTTGGAGACATGAGTTCAAGTACAAATCCATCCGTTTTCCATCCTGTTTAGGCCATGAAGACACTTTGCAACTAACTGTATAGATACTGTAGTAGCTTGAGGAACATGAGCACTTTGTGTTATGACATAGGACCTAAAACATATTTTCCATCCGCCACGTACCGAAAAGGCCATCAGCATTCGTCAGCAGCTTCTTGGAGATGACCATGAGGAGACGACAGCGCTGTGAGTCTTCGCTTCGCAAGGGTGTTTGGAACAAAGTCCCACATGGATGCACAACTCTTTGGCCTCCTTGAGGGCGACTTTTGCTCTACTAAAAGGGCTTATTCCAAAACCGCAGTTCAACAGCATGAGTGAAGACTCGAAATGACCAGCCTGGCGACCGGCCTGGCCGTTTTGACCGCAGTCGAAGGATTTTCCTGAGAAGACGGGGGGGAACATGACGAACCAAACCCCATAGCAGTCTGTTCAACCAAGCAAACATGACCAAGCTGATGGATCCCGTTGCAGAAGAGATCGTTGTGACCGATCTGGAAAAAGATTCACCTGTAAGACAGTCAATCTTGTGGACGAAGAAGAGATGATTTTAAGATCTTTTATATACGTCTATCTATTTGTTTGCCCTGGAGGTTGTTTCTTTGCAAATTCTTCTCTGTGATAGAGTGCTGAGTTACTCAGTGAGGAGTTTCTACGGTCCATTGAAAGCTACGTCGGAAGCCAAGATGAAAAACCGCATCGGCTGGACAACAACCGCATCATTCGTCGGCATGGCAGGGGAGCGAATTTTCAGCCAATGCGAAACAGCATGATCAAAGGTTGTGCACGGCTGTTGGATGGTGTAGCACCCATTTGCGGGTACATATTTGGCCCCAATGATTTCAACGGAACGGAACGTTTGGCAAAAAAGCAAGTCAGTGCTTTGTCAGTTTCTCGTTTGGCGGACTCTGGGCTCGAGTTCAAAGTTTGTTTTTTGTGTTGTTTTTTGTGCTCATTTCCGCCTTTAGCTCTTTCACTTGTCATTTGTTTTCTCCAGCGCAATGGGTAGCAAGTGTGCTGTGGTGGGAGCCTCAGTATTCATGTTGTCTTTGCGGCCATGGCAAGATGTTCAAACGGGAAATTCTTGGAAAAGATCATCGCTATTAGGAATTAGGGAGGCCATCGCTATTAGGTTGGAGGCCATCTCTATTAGGTTGGAGGCCACCGCTATGAGGTTGGAGGCCATCGCTATTAGGTTGGGGGCCATCGCTATTAGGTTGGAGGCCATCGCTATTAGGTTGGAGGCCATCGCTATTAGGTTGGAGGCCATCCCTATCAGGTTGGAGGCCATCTCTAAGAATGCTGCTTGCGTCCTCAAGTCTAGCTGGCAAAACCAATTGAAGACGAGGACGTTTCTGCGAACCTCCGGGCACCTCGAACACCTGTGTGCGATGCTGATTCAGCATTGCGGCTGAGAGCACTGTGCCTAGAGCCGCCGCGAGCATCTTTGCTGAAGCTCAGGAAGATCATGAAGGCGTGGGCTTGTAGACCCTGGCCCTCGTCACTTGCTTTCAAGTCTAGATACGATTCCCTTCAAAAACTTTCGGTTTGTAACTATAAAGTTGTCAACGATCCCTTTCTGTGAGCCTGTGAGGAGGATTCCATGTGCGCAGAGAGACAAAGCTCAGCCGAAAGCACTCTCCAGTCCTTCCGCCCTGGCCACGTTTGAACAAGGAGATGCATCAGTTGACTGTGGTGCCTGCAGGGTGCCTAGTAGCATCCTTTGCTCCTAGTATTAAGGCCAGGAGCCCCTACTAACTTCTTGTTACTAGTAGCGATGCCCTTGTCGATGTTTCATTCGTTTGCTTTGATGTTTGAGTAACGTTCATGCAAAAACAACCATGGTAGCACCCGGTAGCACCCTTTCAGCGACTGAGGACACCAAGGCTTTTCCGGCCATCGCGAGCTCTAAGACGACCTGTGGTGTGTCATGCTCATTTGGCCAGAATCAAGTCACCCAATTTTAAATGCACCTTTCTGCATACTGAAGGCACCATCTTATGACTATTTTCTGATAATGACTACTGACTACTGACCAACCAGTAAAAGTGTTTGTGTTGAAAGCCCTGATGAGTGCCGCAATGTATTTAGAAAGTTGCTGAGATCACTTTTTGGCAGATAGGCCCTTCGATGTTGGGGTTTGCGCGGGCCTGTTTCAGTGAATTTAGAAGCAATGGGATCTTGCAACGTGTGCCAAAGCGATTCCAGACGTAGGAGTAGGAGATCATCGTTTTCAGCGAGATTTTGACAGCCTACCTGAAATGTATACCATAAACATCCCAAAGCATTCACGCTGTTTGGGGCCAGCTCTACTTTCCGAAGACTGGAAATCAAGTTCCCCTCCTGAACTGCCTTCAAACTTGACGTGTATGGCATATGGTGTTGTGTTCGGACGAACAGACTCAACATGACTCAACTAAACAGGCACGCGCGTTCCATGATTGGCGGGAATGATTTTCAGAGTCAGCTCCAAACTTTGGAAACAAAGGGCCAAAAAGCCCTTGTAGACTCTCACGATGTTGCATCGAATTTGAACTAGATTCTAGATAGATTCTGGAGCCATGCGCGCTCAAGGTAATTTGTCGAGGGTGTGCCAACACTGTTCTAAAGCCGAATCCGATTGTGATGCTTCTTGTACTTGTATGTAACGGCACCCCCTTGCAGCTTTTGTGTCCTTTGCTTTGTTTTACAAGCAGAATCATTCGCCGATCTGACCACACCTGGCTGGCCAGGCCAAAAGACGCATCTTCATGGATTTTCCGGATTTTTGCACTGCGCATCGAATGCAATGTATCAAGTATCAAGCTAAAAGCACCTGTTTGATGTGCATATATATATATATATGCAAGTGACAAGCACTTGAGTCGGTTGAACACCAATTAGGTCCAA